TAAAGGCAATAAAAGTACCTTAAAAACTCAACATTAACAATCTCTAACTTCTGAATCAACCTCGCACATTTATCCAATAGCCTGTGTTGCATTTATGTTCAGCTTGACAGAATTCATCACCATCATCATCAGCATATCCAAGTATGACCAGTATTTACCTCAGGAGGCTAAGTGATGATCCTGTTTGTGCTTTTATTTGTTCATTGTTCCAATGTTAAGAGCGATTTCTTGAATGACCAGGTTTAGCAATCCGGCTAGGTAATTGGCTATCTTCGTCAATAAAATCAGCATGAAGATCTTCATTTTCATTTTCAGATAAAGAAGCATTCCCCTTGACATGATTTACGTCACTGTTTGTCAAAGAAGAATTTTTATCAAAAGAATCTTCATTGGAGTTTCCACTTTCTTGCGTTGCAGATCCATTAAGCAAACAAGAGTCCCAAGTATTCCTTCGAACTACCATTTAGTTTTGGCAGAAACAGGTTTCCACCCTTAAGCCAACTTGAAAATCCATTCCTCTTCGAGTCAGTTTGTATAGGATGTACAGATTTACGTGGCAGTCGAGTATTGGGAGAGGTTTCAGATGAAACTATCAAAGCTGCTCCATCACCAACCAGCCCAGCAAAGCTTACCACTTCTGTTGTCTCCGGTGGCAATATCAGCCAATTCTCCTTTTCCAGCACCATCTTGAGAGCCTGTATTAGAAAAGATATTTAATATCTTATCATGCAGAGGGTGCAAAAACACACACAGGATAACTCTAATGAAGGGTCTTTAATAATCAAATTACTAAATCTGCCTTAAGCGACTTCGTATAAAACATCCGTACATGAGTTAGGTTGCATAACCAATCAACATTTCTCCAAACACTACACGAGCACCCCAGATGATGAACATTTTCACGAATTTGAGGTTGAGTATAGAGATTGTCAAGCACAACTCTCCACTAATGTCATTATAAGACTTAACAAATCAAATACGAATGATGCTAGTTAAGATTGAGCTTTGACTGATGACTCTGTAGAAATGTGACTAACTCACAGGCAAGTAAAAGCTTGAACAATTTCTTTTTTATACAAATAACAAAAAATTACATGTACATTGAGGGTCTATACACTTGGCTTCCGAGTAAGAGAAGTACCGATCAAATTTATAGGGTAATTCTTCTATACACTTGCTACTTTATCAAATCTCAACCAAAAGCATTGCCTCTTCTCGTAAAACTGAAATCAATCACAAACATGAAAATATTTTACCCTTTATTACAACTCTCATCCCCCACACCTGGGACTGTCAAGCAAGCAGTTCTGCATAATACTGGTACAAAGGCATGCATAAGTAAGTCTAAATGGTTCCAGAAGATTCAAGTAAACGGCACCAAGAACATCTCTTACCCATTACTTCATAATGCTCCATGACATGGTGTGACAAGCGTTCAGAAATTCTGTCCAGCTGTGCTAATCTAAGAGCAGCCTACAGTTAAATACAAAGCAGAATTAATTTTTTTAGTAACGAAGCATTCATTTATACAGTTGATACATGTCTCATAAAAGCATACTGGTAAAAAGTTCTGGGGCTCTTTTATCCATGACAAAGCCAATCATAAAATGTGCTCCCTATGTTTGTTTCTACTATGAGTTGCTTTTCCGATGAAACGAGAATTGGTGACAAAATAGGAAAGAAGCTGAAAAAAGAAATGGATTCAATTCCATATAATAAAGGCAAAAATCAAGGAAAACAAGCTCCTTCACGTCATTGCAGATTGCCAAGTCGTACAACAAATAATATCAATTATTTTTTACAACAAATAAATGTTAAGAAAACTAGTACAAGATCAAAGATAGAGTGGAATATTCAACTAGTATACTCTACCACATGCACCAATAGCAAAATGTTAGTAGCATACTTCCAAGCTTACCCTCTTTGCATGCAGACAAATAACAAATTGCATAAGAAACAATCTTCAACATGCTTGGGGGCCCCAAACATAGAGAAGAAATACAAACGAGAATAGAACTCATTTCTAGTCCGCCTTCTCCAGTTTTCACAAAATATCATTTTTCACTCCGATTTTTTGTTGAGATGGGACTGTGAGAAGGAACGGGAGAAAATATGTTATTGATATTAAATGATAAATACAATACAAGAGGTCCCTATTTATAGCTATACACTACAAGGAGATATTACTCCTCTTCCAATGTGGGACAAGACTACACTATACATATCGGTAAACTAACACTCCCCCTCAAGCCGGTGCATACACATCATATGTACCGAACTTGTTACAANAATTCAATTTTTCAACCAACCTCCTATATCTCGTAGGGTCTCTAAGAGGCTCCCCCTGTCCAGGGGGAAGCTTAGCATTCGGATCCATAAGAGAGTCAATAGGTCTGCAACCCATCATTCCAGTCTCCTCAAGAATGTCTAAGGCATACTTCCGCTGTGAAATAACAATACCTGAGCTAGACTGAGCGACCTCAATACCTAGAAAATTCTTTAATCTGTCCAGATCCTTAGTCTGAAAGTGCTGAAAGAGATGTTGCTTAAGATTAGTAATACCATCCTGATCATTGCCAGTAATAACAATATCATCAATATAAACCACTAGATAAATACACAGATTAGGAGCAAAATGCCAATAAAACACAGAGTGATCAGCCTCACTACGAGTCATGCCGAACTCCTGAATAATTGTGCTGAACTTACCAAACCAAGCTCGAGGGGACTGTTTCAAACCATATAGTGACTTGCGCAATCTACACACACAACCATTAAACTCCCCCTGAGCAACAAAACCAGGTGGTTGCTCCATATAAACTTCTTCCTCAAGATCACCGTGGAGAAAAGCATACTTAATGTCTAACTGATAAAGAGGTCAATGANAGACGAACAGATGCTACTTTAGCCACGGGAGAGAAAGTATCACTATAATCAAGCCCAAAAATCTGAGTATATCCTTTTGCAACAAGACGAGCCTTAAGCCGATCAACCTGGCCATCCGGGCCGACTTTGACTGCATAAACCCAACGACAACCAACAGTAGACTTACGTGCAGGAAGAGGAACAAGCTCCCAAGTGCCACTCGCGTGTAAAGCAGACATCTCGTCAATCATAGCATGTCGCCATCCTGGATGAGATAGTGCCTCACCTGTAGACTTAGGGATAGAAACAGTGGACAAAGAAGATATAAAAGCATAATGTGGTGACGACAGACGATGATAACTTAAACCGACATAGTGGGGATTAGGATTAAGTGTGGATCGTACACCTTTGCGGAGTGCAATTGGTTGACTAAGAGGAGACAAGTCCGCAGTAGGTGCAGAATCTGATGCGGGGCGTGAATCACCTGGGAATAATGCTGGATGTGGACGACGATGATAAGTCAAGAGTGGTGGAGCTGCAGAAGGTTGAACTGGATTATGTGGAGGAGCTGGAGCTATAGGTGGTGGAACTGGAGCTATAGGTGGTGGAGCTACAACTGGAGCTATAGGTGGTGAAGCTGGAATGATTGAATCTCCAAAAGATGAAACTGATAGTACCTCAGAAATATCTAAGTGATGACCTGAACCTGTGAAGCATGATTGAGTTTCAAAGAAGGTAACATCAGCGAACTTAAGGTACCGCTGGAGGTCAGGAGAGTAGCATCGATACCCCTTTTGTGTTCTCGAGAAACCTAGAAATACGCGCTTAAGAGTACGAGGAGCTAACTTATCTGTTCCTGGAGTAAGGTTATGGACAAAACAAGTGCTTCCAAAGATACGGGGTGGAAGAGAGAACAAATGTAAGTGGGGAAACATGAAAGAGAATGGAACTTAGTTCTGGATAGCTGAAGATGGCATACGATTAATAAGATAGCAAGATGTAAGAAATGCATCCCCCAAAAACGCAACGGAGCATGAGATTGTATGAGTAGGGTACGAGCAGTTTCAACTGTTTTCCGGTGGGGTTGACTGGGGTTTGGTCGCCGGAGCCTGAGGAGTCTTGTGGTGGTGTTGGTTTTTGCACAACACCAACAGAAAGTGATTTGCTTACGGACAACCTTCTAAGTCGCCGGAAAATTGCACGGCGAAGAGGTCTTTCTTCCCGGAAGTCGCTGGAATGATGCACATCGACGTGTTTCTCACTAATGCTCTGATACCATGTGAGAAGGCACGGGAGAAAATATGTTATTGATATTAAATGATAAATACAATACAAGAGGTTCCTATTTATAGCTATACACTACAAGGAGATATTACTCCTCTTCCAATGTGGGACAAGACTACACTATACATATCTGTAACACTAACAGGAACTACAATTTAAGTAAAATGTTAAAATACTTTACTAGTCAAAATACTCAAAAATAATACGAGTATAAAGCTTGCTTAAACCAATGCGCATGGACAGCACATTTATGTTGACTATCCAACTTACATCAAGTATATATACAGTAAAAGAGAGTAGCGTCAAGAGAGTGGACAGTTTAGAGCCATGTCCCTTTGACCATTATTCTTCTTTCTTTAATAAGAAAAAACAACTCGAATTGATATGAAAGGAATAAAAGATGAGTACATGTCGTCAATGATCAATCTAAGTCGAATAACAAAGTTTCCCAAATCTTGTGGAAGATTGTAAGAGAAACATTACGCAAGTGGTAAATTGCTTTACACACAAAGAATGGAGGAAGACTGTTGTACCCAAGCATCTTGTTGCGAAAGAGACCACTCGAGAAGAGATCTGAGCTTACACTCCTTATCTTAAAAAAAGGGAGAGTTCTGGGCTTACACTCTATCTAAAATCCAAATGCGCCATAGAATAGTCAATAAAACACCTTGCAAGAGAAGTTTACCATTCATTGTGCCACCATTTTGTCCGTTAAACATTAACTGACTGAATATGGAATCCCCACAAAATTGCCAAATAACCCAAATGATCTCTGCCACAATCCACTTGCAAAAGGAAATGTCTAAGCAACTCAATGGGACATTTTAACATCCAAATGACGACGATTATTCTTTTTTTTTACCAAGAAATTCGTTTTCCAGCTTCAAATTTCGGGGGATAATGGCCCCCTCTACCGTTCTCCACTTAAATACTAGACTTGTTCCCCAACCAGGATTCAAACTAGTGACATGCGACTACCACACATCCCGCGATGTATCCCCTTCGCTGTTGAACCAGAACTTTGAGGGGCATGAGGACGGTTATGCCTATATTTTGTGGATCTGTCACTGGAATGTATCATTACCCAAGGCATAATTGGCTGGATCACTAGATCTAAAACTAGTGTGTACTGCCATGAGCCTATTGAACCCAACATAGATCAAGCACCACCTTTTTATCAGCCAACAATTAAAGGTGACTGTTTCTTTGCCAACAAAGTAATCTGATGCAGATATTGGGTACATATTTGCAGCGGAAGTAATAACTTTCAGATTCTTCATAAACCATAAAGCGGATAACAATTCTTATATCTTAAAAAAAATACTTTTTTGCTAATTGATATACAGTTAAACATAACAAACAACAATTAAACTTGTACAATGACAAGCATATGGCAAATCAAATAAAGAATTCTCCCTCAGCACCCAAAAGAAAGAATTGCAAGTACCTGTTCTTCCAAGTAAGCTAGTTCACAAATTGCAAGTACCTGTTCTTCCAAGTAAGCTAGTTCACCATCTTCAGAAGGAATATGCTCCAGAATATGTCCGACAGGATCAAATTCCTACACGTAGATATCCCAGGAACCATCACGAGAATTGGAGTGATATGGATTGCAAATGCTCAAGTACGGAGACAACTAAGGGGAAGAAAAGAAGATAAAAGTTGAAGCAACTAAGGGAATAAAAAATAGATCTCCAACAGATTGGCAATGGAGGAAGATAACGAGTAAATAACATGGCCAGGAATCAAGATGTATGTTGTACTCAAATATCCTTTCCATGTAGAAAGACAATAACCCATGCATATGCTGCAGCTTTCACATGAATGAAAGCTAGGTTCATTAACAGAACAATCTTGATGAAAAAACTAATAAAAGACATGAGTTGTTTGCTGACAGAAGTAATAGCCTAACAGGCAGGCCAACCCTTTCAGTCTACACCCACACCAAACTGTAATTAGTAGAAAGTCCACCCACAATTGGCATTTCTTGTCTACAATTCATAAACACTTGTTTCTCAACAAATGTTAAGTGTGCAGGCAATACTTTCAAAAGAGCGAAGTCTGGATTGAGCTGATGGAAGAATTTTGACTAAGAACACAAAGAAAAATCAAAAACATGCATCATGAGAAGAAAATTAGAGGTAACTATCCAATAGCAATCAAACTACAAGCAACAACAACATGACAACTTATAGAGACTGACAGCGTTAACCTTGTTCAAAGTTCATGGAAAGAGCTTTGTTACATAAATCCTGGGAAAGAAGAAGTCTGGGAATTACAGATCATATGCCTGGTAACTACTCCAATAATACTCGTGCAAAGATTGATGCAGATCTTGCCAATATATAAGAAATGAGGTATACAACGACTTTCATAGGCTCATTAACAAAGGCCAAATATTATCACATCAATGAAATCTGTATTAGGATCATCACCCGTACTATACCAATGATCCACTAGAGAACGTACAGGACAGAAAGACACGCAACTATAATATTTATTAAAATGCAGAAGGTGAAACCTCTTAATAGAATTCTTCCTCCAGCTCCTCGACAACTTGACCAGGAGGTTTGCTCCCATATATAGAGCTCAATACCTCTGGGGAGTCCAGCTAGAACACGTGCAGTGCAGCAGCGGCTGCAGCTCGTTCAGGAACCTGCAGGAAAACTTGTAAAAATAGAACTGAAGGCCGTTTTTTGCTTAGTCGTCAAAAAAAGAATAGAAATGAAGACAATTAAGGAAAATGTCGACAACCTTCACGCAATTTATAATCCTCCCTCAGAAACAGAGACTGAATGATCGCATTTTTATTTCCATTCATGTTTACTAGAGGTGCACATAGGGAGCACGCATGTGACACATTAATTGTTCTTTAAGTGTTTACACCCCAAAAACTGACAGAAATAAGAAAACTTCAGTCATAAGAGCGTACGCATAAGAGAAGTGGATGCCTTCAAGAAAAATACATAACCATGCCCTCCAATTTCTCCAAGCATCACTCTAAGGTATACCAACCTTTTTAATGTAACTTTTGCCTATTCCAGTGAAGGTGGAGAAGAGAATAAACAATCTTAGAAATAATTTCTTATAGGATGGCAATGCTGAAATTAGAAAATTGCATTTGCTTAGGTAGCAAAAAATCAAAATATGAAAAAAAGGAGGTTGACTTGGGGTGAGGATACTAGAATATAACAGAGGCTTGCTATGTTAATGGTTGTGGAGGCTTAACGATGGGAAAGCTGCTTTATGGAAACTGTTATTACTTATTATCACTAAGTATTTGAAAGAGGGTTTTGGGGATGCTAAACCGGTGGATTCCCCTTGTGGAGTTGCTGTCTGGAAGCAGATTGTTAATCTGTGGGGAGAATTCAAGAATTCTGTTAAACTGGACTATTTCCCTTTTCATACTTTTAGCATCAAGCTTCATCTGCAACTTCCTGATCTCCATTGAGATAGGAAGAACGGCTAACACAAGGACAGAAGGTAGTCACATACTCCATTAATATATCTAGTCAGCTATAGCAGATCCTTCGCTTACATTTTAATATTTCATACTAGATGATGCACTTTGCTGATTTTATAATCAATTCTTTTTAGCTTGTATATTTCAATGCTATAAATATTACTGGTATTTTGGAAACTAGAAACAAACTTATTATATGATGAATAGGTGGTTAAAAAAGCTTTGTTCAAATTCACTACCTCTGGTTGGCTGAGAATACGATTTTTTTTTTTATTTGCACCGGGTGTCCAAGTCTCTTTGAGCCCCGACTAATCCCGGGGGTGCACAGGCCCTCGGCAAGGAGTTTCCCGCAAGTGCACCACGGTTAATTCAGGTTTTACCCAGTCCGATGGCCCTCAGAAATTGTTTGCACCCAGTGGGTTTCGAACTTGAGACCTTGAAAGGGAGCAAACCCCAAGGCTCAAGTCAATTGCCACCAGGCCAACCCTTGAGTGTTTTGGCTGAGAATACGATTATGTGAGCTTCTTTACCAATCACACATAGCAGCATGCAAAATTCTCCTTTGACGCCTTGTAAGACATTATATGTCAATCTTGTGATTTTTCACCAGTAATCTGCACAGGAACAGGACCCATCTTGAAAGCTGTGGAACCGATTGACATCTCTTACAACTATCATTCTCATTGTGACCTTTGAGATAAGCTTCAAAGCAGAATGGCAATCATCACATATTCTGAGATTCTTAATAACATGAATTGGCGCTTGGGATGGTGTTTTCATGAGAGCATATGCTACAGCCAGCTTTTCGCTGTGGTAACTAAGATAACCTTCTTGCTGTTCTTGCTCGACATCATGCAAGACAGAAGCTGTGTCTGGAACATAACCCAACGGTTTTATATCAGCCAGCAATTTTCTCACCTTCTCATGGATTTGAGCCGTCTCTGGGTGTTGAGTGTCATCAGAAACAAACACATGAGTTTCATTTCTTATTTCAGTCCAGCTCAATCCAGGTTCTTTCTTTATGTTCCTTTCTCTTAATAGCTTCCGTATCTTTGCTACTCCATCCCACCTTTTCACCTTGGCATGCATATTGGACAACAGGATATAAGTTCCCACATCGTTGGGGTTCAATTGCAACAAATGGTCTGCGACTCTCTTTCCTAGACCATAATTGCAATGTACGTTACAAGCATTAAGCAAAGTACGCCAGGCAACGACATCCCATGTGACTGGCGTCGACCTCATGAAATTCTCAGCCTCATCAAGTTTTCCAGCTTTACCTAGGAGCCCAACAACACAGGTATAGTGCTCTAACCCAGGTTCAAGGCCGATGTCCCTCATTAGATGCTGCAAGTAGTAAAATCCTTCTTCTATTCTACCCAAATGTCCACAAGCCAAAAGAACCCCGACAAAGGTTACATAGTTTGGTTGCTCTTCGGCAGCTAACATGTGCTGAAACACATCCAATGCTTCCTCACCAAGCCCATGATGAGAGAAACCTGATATTATCATATTCCAAGTAACAGTATCTCGACAAATCATGCTTGAAAACAAGGCCCTAGTGGCTTCGATATGGCCACTCCTAAAATACATATTGATCAAAGCATTCCCAACTACAACAAAAGCTCCATGTCCTGTCTGCTCAACACGTGCATGTAATGTTTTCCCGCAACCAAGTGCTGATAGACCCGCACAGGAATTCAACAACACTGCGAATGTGTATTCATTTGGAATAACATCCTGAAGTTCCATTCGTAAGAATAGTTTCAGGGCTTCCTCAAAGCATTCATTTTGGAAATTTGCAGCCAAGATTGCCGTCCAAGACACCACATTATGGTTCGCATAAGAATCAAAAATATATCTTGCACCTGAAATTTCACCACACTTTCCGTACATGTCCATGATTGCGCTGCTTAGAAACACATCAAGCTGAAGACCAGACTTCAGCATTCTGCAGTGAACTTGCTTACCCAACTTCAAATCCTTGAAGCGAGCACACAGACCAAATATGTTCACGTAACTGACACTATCCCCCGCCGAGCCGTGAGCCAACATCCTTGAGAAAACATCCAACACTTCACTTGTATACCCATGATCCAAGAACCCCTTCAGTACAGAATTATAAGTAATGATGTCTAATCCAGGAACAGACTTCAAGATTTCCAAAACCCCTTCCATATCTGAAGACACTGTATACAAGGATAGAAGAGCATTCTTCACATACTGATGAAAGACCAATCCTGCTTTCAACACTAACGTATGACACTGCCGCCCTTCGTGTAGCAAACCACCGCTAGAACAAGAAGAAAGTACGGTAGACAAGACATACTCATTTGGGAATATTTTATCCACTGAAATCATGTCTTTGAACAATTTGGTTACTTCCCAAGCATACCCATTGTGCAAATACCCTGCCATTAAAATGCTCCAAGAAACTACATTTCGTTGACTCGATCTGTCAAACACCCGCCGAGCAACAGCAAGTTGTCCACACCTCGAGTAGAGATTAATGAGACAATTATTCTGAATTATGTGGTCTTCTGAGGCATGACTAGAAACAACAAGAAGTGCATGAACAGCTTTTCCCAACTTGAAGTTCCCATCATCAACTAACTTTTTCAACAACTTTACAGCATACTCCACGGAAAAGAGACGTTGAGAGTTCACTTGGGATAGAGAAAACGCACTCACATGCAGAAGAACGCGTGTGGACATTGCTTGTCAGAAGCATAGTCAAGTCTCACTATAGTCCTGTTTGTAGAGTAATACAGCTCCAGACACTTGAAGTGTATGTTGACGGAACAAAAAGAATGCTAAATCTGAAAATATAAGACAAGACATGTTTAGAATATATACTGTCAAAAATTATATAGAAAAACATGTGCAAGAGCCATGTATCAAGTTACTTCAGCATGCATTTGAAACAAAGAAGCTTCTCTTATTTACATCAGTTACAATATTGCTATACTAGTATCTTCTTCCCAGCCCCCCAAACTACTGGACACATGTCAGTCATAGCTTTCCATTTAATTAGCGACCAACATTGTGTGCTCCATGTGATGTAAGGTTATAAAGATTTTATTTGAACATATGATAAAAAAAAAGGGCAGCCTGGTGCGGGTCCGGGAAGGGCCGGACCACAAGGGTCTATTGTACGCAGCCTTACCCTGCATTTCTGCAAGATGATGAATATCATAAATGACTGCACAGTGACAACATGTTCCTGCTACTGTAAAGTGATCTCTGTTCATTTGTGCAATTTCGGAGAACAGAAATTTTTCTTTTTTTCTAGCAAGTCTGCTTCTTCTATACACCTTTCCTCCTGCATTATCGCGGAGGAGGAAAAACCTGGTAAATTGAGTTGTTAGCAGGATAAGCCTGTCACTTTGGCTTGGCAGTATGATGTATGGAAAGATGCTTCTTTCTCAAGCACTAGAAGACAGCCCTTTCTCATGTCTACTTCTTAGATACACATTCCCCTGCTATATTGTCAAATTATCTGTCTCAAAGGGAAGTAAGAGCTTTATTCACAAGTTGCTAAACCATTGTATGACCTCCTAGGCACCCTATTACAGTTGAGACGAACAATTAATATCTTTATTTACCTTCACTAAACTTCAAAGTAGAGGTCTCGAGTTTTAGTCCTGAAAATGGAGAAACTTCGTGTAAGGAGCGCTTCCCATTTAATGGCCCTACGCAGCGGTAGTACCGGATATCAAATGGTTATACCCAAAAAATCATCTTTGAAGTGATTCTCAGCGTCCAAGCATCCGTAACAGCTTAGATATCCAAGATGTAAGCTAGACAGAAGTCCAAGATGTACATGTGGATTCTGTGAATCAAGTCTCCACGTTGAAAACTGCCCGCCCAAAATTTTGCAGAACATCTCATTCTCAGTTGGCACAGCCTGAATTATATCGTACATGAATTTTAAGATATGTCTAGAAATCATAAAATACAAATTGGAATGATACAATCACTAATACATTACAGTATCTGCATATTGCAAGATACTGGCAACTGTGTGTCCAGCTTGATCAAACACAAATTAAACATAAACAAATAATGAGCTGAATAAGTTTTGTGTGCATATGAACACCTAAGGAATCTAAGTCAGTTACTTCCTAAAGCTCTTTCTTTACTAAAGTCTAAACTCCAATCACTAATATTAATATAACTCATGAGTTAAAAGAAATCCATCAACGTAAATACGCAAACTCACCATCTCAAACATTCGTTAAAATACTTTCAAATAAAACAGAGATACCAAAAGAATAATGAAACAGTTAAGGAAAACTATCCCAAGAACAAGTCAACGGACCAACCAAAACAAGCATTTTTAACTAAAGAAAACAATATAAACCAAAGCATTGTTAAAACCATATCTGGAGAGAAACGAATTAATATATAAAGATAACAAGCAAATATTTTCATTCTCTCTAAATTCCGGTATTAAGGAGTGTTCATACGAATTGCAGCCAACAAGTCTTAAACAAATGATTCATATCAGTTTATGCTTGATCTCAACATTCATACTTTTATCTTCAGTGAGTGAACATTTCAGTAACAAACAACCCAATTCAAAACTCTTGTGAATTTACTAAGTGCTCAATTAACAGTGCAGATGCCAAACATGATGATATTTAGCCACTAACATGCTGAGTTTAGAACAAAACAGCAGCAGTAAAGCCAAACTAATTAATGACTAATTCCATTTTTTTAAAAGAAAAAAAAAAAGAATTATCAACAGATAAAAACAAGCTGACAGGTCTGGAGATTGAACACAAGGAATACAGAAAATTGAACATATTCATAGGGTCAACAATCCAAATATTCATTCATATTCAAAAGAGGATTTCGGGTAAATGTATACATACCTAAACAGCCGAAAATAAACTGAAGACAACCAACAAAGGTCTGAAATAGAAGGTGAAATCCAGCAACAGAAACAGCGACAAACCAGCGACCAAACGAGCCACACTCGATAATAGCGGAAACAATAATCACTTTTGGGTGTAAAGTGGTGAAGATGGGCGGCGGACAGTGGAGTTGTTGGCTCTCTTTGTATGTGAGTAGGTCTGAGAGAGTGGAGGAGGAGGAAATCCGTCTGTTGAGAATGAAAAGGGGGGGATTGTTTGGGGACGAAACGACGTAGTTTTGATATTAAACTACGTCATTTGGTGGCCTGGGAGGAATGGTTGTTGGACCGGGTATTTGGGAGGAATTTGGGGCGGGCTTGTGGAGTAATTGGGCTGGTTTTGGCCCATTTCAGAGATGTGAAGCCATAGCCCCTTATTTTCTTTACTAGTTTTAGTGTACGTGCGTTGCAAGTGTGCTTCACCTTAAACAGTATAAATGTATACAAGTAGAAGAAATTGTTGAAAATAACAATTGATAAATCAAAAATTAATTTAAATCATAAAAATAATTATTATTAAATTGACACTATAATTGTGAATTTAATATCTTCTAAACATGCAAAGATGATGAATTTAATTGAATTAACTGTATAATATTTTGTGGTTAATAGATATTTTATTATTTAAAATATAAATATATTATGTTATTATATCTCATCTAACATCTCTTTAAAAACTTTATATTTATAATATTATTATACTAAAAAAATATTTTTTTATTAAATAAAATAGATTGCACACTCTTTCAGTAGATATAAAATGGAGTATAAAAATTTTATGCGAATTATTACATGAATCAATCCGTTCTTTATTTTTCTGTAGAATAAAATGATAAAATCTAATTTTAAATCAAGATTTTAAAATAAATATTATATGTTAAAAAAATAAAGTTAAGCTACTTTTATAAGAAAAGAGACTAAAAGTTTAACAATGTGCTCTGAATTTTTCGTTGTTTCTTTTTTTCTTTTCTCCGGTTTGAGTCTAATATTAAAACCTTTCTTTTTGATAGTTATATGTCTTTTTAAGCATGGTGATGGAATTTGTTCTTTGTAACCTAATTACATAAGGTTTTTTTCAAAGTTCATTAAGATTATATGTAAGTTAAGTGGACCTCTTCTTGTAAAAAAATTAAAACTTTGTAGATATTTTTAAGTTTGAAATATATTAGTTTATCAAAATATTAAAATAACAATTGTAGTTATAATTTTACATAATATAGTTGTAGCTCGATTTATTTTTTAAATTAATATTTTCATGTTAGTTTAAACTTCTAAAAAATTATACTTGGAATTAAAATCAACTCTTAAAAAGTTAAAACGAAAAAGAACATGCATTGCTGATTTCCAATGATTTTTAGGTATTCTATTATCGGTAATATTTGGGGAAAGAATCTAAGAACATGGAAAATTTTAAGTGCCACGCATTAAACACCAAAAAAGAAATTAAGTGCATGCATAAGGATATAAAAGTTGGTCAAATAAGGAAAAATATTATATAAAATAAAATTTATATTAAATTTAAAGTCATGAATATTAGAAATTTTTACATGATCCAAATAAGGAAAGATTTAAGAAGCGGAATATTAGTTGATTTTGAAGTCCTAAATATTAAAAAAATAATCAAATGACTATTTTGTTTAGTATAAAATTTATTTTTAAAGCGTTAAAAGATGAACGACATTTCGCTAAGGGACTTCGTGCTTTTAATATAGTATAGATTAGATTTTGCAAAATTAGCCACTTTAGACTCGAAAATCTAATCAAAACCCATTTTTTGTATAACTAGCCTATTTATCTATTTTACCTAATGATGGACTACTGTAACTAATTAACTAATTAACTAACCTAAGAATGTATTTTTTGATTTTTAGATATTTAAATAATGTATTTAACAATGTAATTAAATCCTAAAATGCAATTTAAAATATAAAATGCTATGAAATTAGGATTTGAACATTTTTATGATTTTTATGATTTACGATATTCCTAACATGCATAAACAATGCAAATAAATACAAAATAAATAAAGAAAAACTTCTAAAATTCATAAAAAGAATTAAAATTATTTTTGAATTATTTTTTAGGAGTAATTTCCTATGTGGACAAAAATTAGGTGCTCACACATATCATTTGCACAAGTTGTATCTTCTTCTTTTTTACAACTAAGAGGCCAAGATTTTTTTGCCTATAAAAGGAAAGACCATTTGTTCATTTTAAATACACCAACAAAACTTGAGTCTTCATTTCTTGTTTCTCCTCCTCCTTTTGTAATTGAGAGTATTTTGTAAGAGAGTTGAGTGCCGAGAAACACTTGTGTGGACCCTTTTTTTGAGCGATCTTGTGAGCATATATTCTCGGGGGTATTTGGGCTGATTATAGTATTTACTCTAATTTTGTACTCTCTTTAACTCAAAAGTGCCAAGGTTTACTGGAACTTGAAGCTTAAAGCACATAATGTCTAAGCAGTTATATATCGTGAATGGAAAAAGAACAACTATAAACACAGACAACAATTAGATGGGTAAACGAATTGCCAAAAAAATAATAATGAAGTGAATATATAACAACCATCAAATGACCAAAATGCAAACATGTTTGCAATTTAAAGAATTAATCTCACATGAGATAGAATGAAATGAGTTTTTGAGTTATGACATACAACTATTAAACGAAATTGGGTCATTCCTTGGAATATCATGGGCACCTAGATGGAAACAGAGTTACAGATGTTATGGTGAATATTTTTTATTTTTTTATAATCGAGAAATCCTCGAGGGCTAATGACACACAATTTGAAACTTTATGGCTGATTGACCCGCCTTTCTATCTTCTCTACTAACTTAAATACCAGACTTTGGTATATGGCACGATGTAAATTTAACCCATACATCACACGTTACGCTCTTACCGATAGACCAAAGCCTCGAAGGAGAAACATATGGTGAATAATGAACACAAACAGCAAGAACCCATAGGTAATCAGAAGAAGCAAGAACAACTGGGGGGGGGGGTAAAGTTCGTGGGAGCACAAAAGTTAATTAGTCATCAATATTTTCAAAAATTCGAGTGAAAGACCAGGTATGGTAGACACCCAATTTACCCCGTATTAGCAAAGGAGCAAGGGGTAAGCCCATATATTTTTTTGGCTTGCCAAGAAATATGCCTGGGGCCAACTCTTAGGACCAATAATAGCCTTCGAAACTCGAGTATAATGGACCCGCCCCTCTACCCTTCCCCACTTAAATAACAGGCTTAGTTTACATAGGGTCGAACCTATGACCTGTCTCAATTCCCTCAACCTTTGCCATTTGAACTAAGCCCATCTAGATTTTCAGATAGTTGATTCTTACTTCTTAAATCAAACTTAATATACCTATCACAAATTTGAGCAATTATAACATTGGAAAAAAAAAATAACCATAAAGTTTCAGGTTCAAATCCCAAACAGAGACAAAAGCATGATTTCTTCTCATTTGTTCAAGTATTGGTGGACAGAGTTACCGGATACTGTTGCTTTTCTATTAGGAGGTTGCAAGTATCATATGTAATTCGTCCAGATGTGCGCAAGCTCGCCCAGACACCACGGTTGTCAAAAAAAAAACACATTTAAACTTGCAAAAATCACAAGGAGCAATAATATCACAGTTGAGCAAATACAGCATTTATAAACGAATTTATTAAATTTTGAGTTTAACCGATTAAATATCACTATAAAAAGGGAAAACGAGTTTTGGTCTAATTAGATAAATAGAAGCAAACAAAGCATTATAAATCAAAATTCACTAATATTTGTTCTTAATCCATTAACATGATTGCCCCAAAAAAAGAATAAAAGTCTTGGTCTAATTATACATAAAAATATAGGGGAATATATGAAGAGAAATAGAAACATACAGGTTTGATTTGGACATGAGAAAAGCGAGGAGATCGCTGCGGTAATGAGATGGGGGAAGAGAAGACTGTAGAGAGGAGATTTTGGCAAAGAATTCTTTCGCAAGAAAATGGATGAATTTGGGCTCAATTTGTTTGTTTTTCCTCCGGCCCGTTACATAAAATTTGGGCTTGGGATCAATAATTAATCTTTACACAAATAGTCGGTCATATTCATTATTTACTTTTGTAGTCATATATATAGTTTATACATTGATTATGCATAATTATACACATATAATACATAAATTATGTATATATTATACATCCACTAGCTATTTTTAGTTTAAGTCGTTAGGTGGGCAGCTATTTAGGTTAATTCTTCTATTTTTATAGCCAAGTTACACATTTGGCCGGTCGGTAAAAAATAATTACATTCATTAGCCAAATATACAAAAGTATACACTACTTATATATATACATATTTATATCGGCTATTATTTTATAAAGTGGCTATATTGTATAGTTGTAACGACCCGGCCAGTCGTTTTAAGTATTATAACCCCGTTCCCTCATTTACTGTTCAATTTATGCCTTATAATTAATTTATGACTTATCGGGTTAGTTGGTTCGGGTTCGGAAAAAATTCGGAGTGAAATGAGACACTTAGTCTCATAATTAAAAATTTTAAGATAGAAAAGTTGCACGAATGTGGACTTAGGTGTAAACGACCTCGGATATGAATTTTTATGATTTCAATAGCTCCGTATGGTGATTTTGGGCTTAGGAGCGTGTCCGAAAAATTGTTTGGAGGTCCGTAGAGGAATTAGGCTTGAAATGCCGAAAGTTGAATTTTTGGGAAGTTTAACCCGGGGGAGGGGGGTAACTTTTTAATATCGGGGTCAAAATCTGATTCTGAAAATTTTAATAGGTATGTTATGTCATTTATGACTTGTGTGCAAAATTTGAGGTCAATCGGACGTGATTTGATAGGTTTCGGCGTTGTTTGTAGAAATAAAAAGTTTCAAAGTTCATTAGGCTTGAATCTATGTGTGATTCATGTTTATAGTATTGTTGGATGTAATTTGAAGACTCGACTAAGTTCGTATGATGTTTTAGGACTTGTTGGTATATTTGGTTGAGGTCCCGAGGGCCTCGGGTGAGTTCCGGATGGGTAACGGATCAAAAAGTGAACTAAAATAGCTACTGCAATTTCCTTCTGCTGCAGATTCCATCTCCCAGAATCGAGCCCTGAATCGTGCCCAGAATAGGGCCATGATCGAGCCCAGGATCGAAGCCACGATCGAAGGCAGGGTCGAGGGTCATGATCG